TTTTTATTTTTATTTATTATTTTTTTTACTTTCAGTTGTGCTTCAGCCATCCTGGAAATATGTATTTTATTTTACCATCACAGCGTAGTCAAAACAAGTATAACGAATGCACTGTTAAAAATATCTTGAAGATGCTTGATATCGGGCCCACGTTATGCAACACAGTGAAACCGGTCTGCCCATAAAATATGCCTCATGACATCTGAAGGGATAACTTCAGTAAAAACAGGAAAGACAGGAACAAATGTATTTTCAGACTCTTAATGGACAGATCAAACAGCCAACAGTCAGACAGAAACCTTTAAACGTTAACTGAGATATATGGACAATGTTGCTAAAAAGTCAAACTTCAGGTCAAGTCTGAGGAGAAGGAGTTATCCAGATAACAGATCATTGGAACAGCTCCAGGTTAGACCCAGGTCTACATGTTATTGTCTGTGTTTCCGTCCCTGTTATTACAGAGCTCACTTGTTGCTTGATCTCAGTAGATCCCAGGAGATCAGTCGAGATTTTCCTCATACCAAAAAGTTAATAAACCAGAGATGAGTATGTCTACAAAAACTGCCTCTAGCTACAGCTAGCCTCTAGTTGTTCACCCACTACCACTTCTTCCTCCACTGACTGAATGTACTAGTGTTTCAGTGTGGAAGGAGAATCATTCAAATATGACCTGAAAACAGAAGCAAGTACTGTATGCAAGTTTCCGCACGTACTTCAGATAAAATTTAGACTATTTCCATTTTTTATATATCACCATCAGTCATCGTGTCTGCATGATTGTTTTGACTTAAGTCCTGTGACTCACACCAATCCTTTGCCAAAGTGATTCACACCAGATAGGTTCCTTATGTTATGGCAACAAAAGACCCGACCTTCAAAAAAGTAGATGTCATCTCAAAATCTCTTTCAGTTGCAGACAAAACTAGCAGAAATTTGACTTAATCCAACACATGACACGTTTTATTTTGTTACAAGGATCAAACCTTCCTACTTTAACTTATTTTTCTAGTTTAACCTGTAGACCAGAGTAAGAAAGGACACAAACCAAGGACACAATGAGTACCTGAAGACCTCTGACCCTCCAAGACAACCAAGCCAATGTTGATCCTGGTGACATGTCTTTGTGCGAGACACTTGTCAATCTATCTGTACTTGCTGTAAGTTGCATTGGAGTCCAATGTAAACTTGAAGTGTTGTAAATATGCAAAATGCACCACTTTATATAATAGGTACAAGCATTTTGCAAAATACTACCTATTTTTGGCTACTTGGAGGTAGCAGAAACAATCTGTGAGCTGCTATGAGAGTGGTAAAGATTTCAGATCCTTTGTGATGTATCCGATCGTTGTCCCGCCTGCTGTGTATTCCTATTTGTGAAATCGCGTGTCACTCAATACTTTGTAGCAGAAGCTCTGGAGAGGTTCAAGACGACTAGTGAGGTGGAGTTGAGTTAAAACTTAGTTGGCACTGTATAGTTTGGATACTGGAAGCATGTGTGTATCCAGGAGGAGGAGTAAGTTTCCTTTTCTGTTTGCAGATGT